AAAAAAAAAAAGAAAAAAAAAGACCTGGCTTATCTATTGCCCAGGTGGTCCGTGGAATGCAAGACATGAGATTATGCATCAAAGTATTCACCAGCCCGGGCAACTTGGTGAGACCTCATCTCTACAACAAATCAAAAAAGTTAACCAGGCATGGTGGCGCATGCCTGTCGTTCCAGCTATTTGGGAGGCTGAGGTGGAAAGATTGCTTGAGCCCAGCAGGTCGAGGCTGTGGGGACCGTGAGCATGTCACTGCCTTCCAGCCTGGGTGACGGAGTGAGACTCCAACCTCAAAAAAAAAAGTATTCACTCCCCAGATTTGCCGCCAGTGGCTGTGTTCATCCTGTCCCTCCACCCACCCCACAAAGAGCCCCTTGTCCTCTCTGCCGCCCCCACAAGCCTCCTTCTTTAGGCAGCCTCCGCCTTTCTTTTACAGGATCCGGAGCCCGACCCGCTGATGGTTTTTGTCCAAGCCTGAAACAGCACCGGAGAGCCTCGGGAAGGGAAGGCTTTTGCCAAAGGAATTTTCCAATTGCTCAGACGCCAGTCCTGGCAGCCCCTGGGGTCAGTCCAGGAGGACCAAGCGGGATTTGAGGATTCACTTGGCCTCGGGCTATGGTGTGCCAGGGCCTGTGTCTGTATGTGGCCACCCTGCTGTCAGGGCTGCTGCAGTGCCTGGGCTTTGCGGGCGTCCTCTTTGGCTGGCCTTCACTGGTGTTTGTTTTCAAGAGGGAGCATTACTTTGAGGAGCTGTGTAAACCCAACGCTGAGCTGATGCACAATGCCACCAGTCTGGATGGTAAGGCTGGGATGCCTTTCCTTTCTTTCTTGTTGGGGTCTCACTCTGTCACCTAGGCTGGAGTGCAGTGGTAAGATCTTGTGTCCCCGCAGTCTGAACTTCCTGGTTCAGGTGATCCTCCCACCTCAGACTCCTTACTAGCTGGGACTGTAGATATGTGCCACCACACCCAGCTCATTTTTTGGGGGGCAGAGATGGAGTCTTGTTTCGTTGCCCAGCCTGGTCTTGAACTCCTGGCTTCAAGAGTTCTTGCCTTAGCCTCCCAAAGTGCTGGGATTACAGGCTTGAGTCACAGTGCCCAGCCAAAATTAACTTTTTTAAACTATACAATTCAGTGTATTATATATTCACAAAGTTATATAAACATCACCACAATCTTTTTTTTTCTTGAGTCGGGATCTCACTCTATCAGCCAAGCTGAGTGTAGTAGCCTCGATTTCCTGGGCTTAGGAGATTCTCCCGCCTCGGCCTCCTGAGTAGCTGAGACTACAGGCACACACCACCATGCCCAGCTAATTTTTTGATTTTTTTTTTTGAGTAGGAGTTTCACTCTGGGTGGGGCTTGGTGGCTCAGCCTGTAATCCTGCACTTTGGGAGGCCGAGGTGAGTGAATTGCTTGAGCCCATGGGTTCGAGACCCACCTGGGCAACTTGGTGAGACCTCATCTCTACAATAAATC